TATATTTAAAATAATTCATAGTATTAGTTATAGTGATAAACCTGAAAATATATTAGAAATTATTAAATTAGTTCTATCAGTTGCTAATTATACTTAGTGTTTTAAAACGATCCCTTCTCGCTTATATCAACACAAACCAATAACTTTATTAATATATCCACAAAAATGACTACTACTGTGAAAGATGTTCTTGATTATCTTAAAGAAAACCTAAAAGAATCAGTCATATTACAGGTTGATCCTTTCTTAGGAGATGGAATGCAGAATCTGTATACTTGGCTTAAAAGCTTTGAGAAGACAGCCGCTGCAAATAATTGGAATAATAGGAGAATGCAATATGTTTTTCCTGCTTTTATGCAAAATACTGCAGATGAATAGCAACACACATATTTTACTAAGACTACTTTATCTACTATGGATCATGCTGCAAATTGGAAAGCCATATCAAAAGCCTTTAGAGAATGTTTTTGTAGTCAAAGGTGAAAAAATAAATGGTTAAGAGAGTTGGAGTCTATAAAACAAATCAAGAAAAATAGTAGATTTGTACTTGAGTCGTTTTAACCAGCTAGTGAAACGAGTTGAGATCAAAGGGAATATGCTAGACGCACAAAAGCTACTATATTTTAAAAGAGGATTAAGACCAGATATATTACCTATTATCATAATGCACAAGCTTGTGGATCTTAATGGAGTTTTAGATTTTGCAAGGCATCATGAGGAAAGTACTGATTTTGCAAAGCAGGCTGACCCAGTACAAACAGGAGGATCTAGGAATTTAGAGAAGGATATAGAATTTCTTATACAACAAATGCAACAAATGTCCTTTAATTATACAACAATCGCATCAGCACTTACTGCTCAGGTACAGTCTAAAGTTAAACTCAATAGAATCAAACCAGAAATGATTTGTTATCATTGTGGTAAAAATGGGCACTTCGCTTATAATTGCATGTCAGAAAAAAGAACTACTAAAGAACAAAGAATGCAGATACAAAATAGTAATAGTTAACCTAGAAACGTCAGCTATGCTAATGCTGAATTAGATGAAAATGAAGAGATAGTTTATATTACTCAAAATCTCAGTCATCAACCTTATACCAAAGATCATAAGGAGGCAAAACAAAAGCAGGTAGAGCAACAAAAGAAACAAGGGTATCAGAAAATAGTTTCTAAACCTCAATCTCAATCATTGACTAGTGTCCTAATGGAAGTAGAGAATTGTCAACCACAACCACAAACAACCTCTATTGTACAACCAAAGAAGATAATTCAAAAACACTTACCTTCAATTGTGGATAAATTAGAACTATATAATATTTCAGAAGATTTATTGAATACTAAAGCTAATGCTATGTATAGACAAATACTCCAGTCCCTGAATCAGAGACGAAAATTAGCAAAAGCCTTGAGAAGAAAGAAACCGGCTTCTACTGAAGCCAATAGAATTGAACTGGATAGTATACAAAAGACAGTAGCTATGAGATGTCATGTAAGGATTAATAGCAACCCTGTTGTAGCCATATTAGATTCTGGTGTCGCAGTGAGCATTATTACTAAAAAATTAATGCAAAGATTGGGTTAGTAATAACTAAGAAATCAAAGACTGTGTTGTTACAGCTAATGACAGAAGTTCTAAAGCTATAGAAATCGTAGAACATGTCTCTATTACTTTACAAGATATCGTTATACTAATAGATATATAGGTAATAGAATCAATGGATGAAATATTGTTATTAAGAACTGACTAGTTCAACAAATCAAGTGCTACTTTAGATTTTGGAAAGCACATGTTGCACATTAAATATTATAGGAAGCAAACAACTATTAATACTATATATACCAGCATTATTACATCATTACGCATCGAAGAAAATGAAGATAAATCGGATGACGATTAATGGATTGATGAATTAGAAAAAGAAAAATTAGAAACTTTCTTCTCTAATGAGTTAAATACTGATTCAGAGGATGGATTATTTTATAATCCTTAGGAAAATGAAGGTAGTCCAGCCATATGTCTTGCGGAATCTAAAGAAAATAGAAATCAAAAAACAATGGAATTAGATTATAATGTTGGACAAGAAGTCACTCTTAAACAGCGAGAAGATGCTCATAAATTATTACTTGGAAATCATGATGTTTTTGGCACTGATATATCAGAAAAAGCAGACTATAGGACTGGGTTGTATTCATATAGTATAACACCACATTAATACAGGAAATAATGCATCGATTAAACAGAAGCCGTATAGAATTGCACTCGATACACAAGAATTTCTACAAAAGGAATTAAATAAGATGGAAAAATTAGGTGTAATTTGTGCAGTAAAAGGACTGTGGAGATTACCAGTAGTCATAGTTCCTAAAAAGAACAGAAAAAAGAGAATTTGTGTGGATTATCATAATTTGAATACAATAACAGAAAAGGATATTTATCCTTTACCTAATATTAATGATGTCCTAGATAGTTTTGGGAAAGCTCAATGGTTTTCAAGTTTAGACTTGGCTAGTAGTTACTGACAAGTAGCTATGGCCGAAGAAGATAAAAAGAAAATGCCCTTATTACTAAATTTGCCACTTACGAATTTAATATAATGCCATTTGGTCTTTGTAATGCACCTGCTATATTTCAAAGATTAATAGATTTGGTATTACAGAGTTCATAAATAAATATGTAGTCATATATTTAGATGATATTATGATATACTCACTTAGATTCAAAGATCACCTTAGGCATCTGCAACAAGTGTTTGATAAACTTAGAGATGCTAAGTTAAAATTAAATCTTGAAAAGTGTTTTTTCTTCTTACCGAATATTAAGTTTTTAGGTCATGTGGTGGAAAGAGATGGACTAAAACCTGATGAAGACAAAATCGAAAAATAAAAATTATCCTGTTTCAACAACATTGAGTCAAATTCGTAAATTTTTAGGACTTGTGTCCTATTATAGAAAATTCATCAAAGGATTTTCTAAAATAGCCCAACCATTAAATCAGTTGTTAAAAAAAGATAAACTGTATGCGTGGACAGAAAAACAACAACAAGTATTTGAAGCATTAAAAAATTACCTTGTAACCGCTCCGGTACTACAACAACCTGATTTTGATCAACCATTTTATATATATACAGATGCGTCTATTTATGAATTAGGAGCAGTGTTAGCACAATTTGATGACCAAAATAGGGAGTATGTGGTATCATATGCCAGTCAAAGCCTAAATAACACAAAGAAAAACTATTCAGCCACTAAATTGGAATGTTTAGCTGTTATATGGGCCATTAAATATTTTCATCCATATATGGGAGGCAAACATTTTTATCTTGTTACAGATTATGCAGCCTTGAAATGGTTATAGACTAGTGAATTAAAGGGGGCTCATGCTAGGTGGATTATAAGATTAGAGCCTTATAATTTCACTGTAATCTATCGTCTAGTAAAAATACATAGAAATGCTGATGCATTGTTATGAATATATGAACATAATCTTCCCAATAAAAAGGAAACACTGCAAAGTTGCCTAGAAGAATATAATAAAGAAAATATTGTAGAAGTATTCATGGCGGGGTTGTATCAGCAGTCTGAATCTAGCCATATAGACAATAAAATACTGGATATTGTTAAATATACATTAGAATATTCACCGCCATTTGATGTTTAATATTACTTGAAACCCTATTCTAATGTTATATTTATGACAGAGGGTATATATTATGAAAAAATGATAAGTACATGGTACTATTTAGAGCATATTGCAAATAGATTTAATAAAAAAGATAAAAGGAAAGGATACTCACATGATTTCAAAGGTCTATTTGCCTAATGTTGGTGCAGAAATAACTTACATTCTCCAGAAGATGAATGCATAGCATGTTATCTTGACTTAAAATTATGGATTACAGTCAAGAGTTATCCAATTGAAGAAGTGGCAAGAAGTTATTAGCCAACACAATGCGACGAGAAAGAATGGGTAATCGAAAAATCGAAACTGTTAGTCTTATTGATGACAGCGTAATAGAAGATATAAATATCTATGTAGAACCAGGAACTTACCTATTATTAGATTATGTAGCAGATGATAATGTTGACATATTCAATTTCTCTTGTAACGGTAATCAATATACTTTAACAATTGACAAAACTAACTTTGTTATTCGACCATGGTGGTTTAATATATTAGAAACCCCAACCCCAATGTATTATTAAGAATTTAATAATTATTTTAGTAGATACCTTTGCAATTCGGTTTAGTAGGAAATCTCAAACCTTATATACTAAAACTCCATCTTCAAACGACGTAAAACCTTGCAAGTTGGTCACTGCTACTATATCAATAATTAAAAAAAATTAAATAATTAAAAAAATTAAATAATTAAATACTAGAATCATATATCCTCTAAATTACAAAATTTAAAATAGAACCACTCGAATACAATCAAATAAAACATTACCTTGAAACTGCAAAATTTTTACCTAATCTTACACCTAGAATGCAGAGAAGAATCATAGCTCAAAGTAAAAATTTTGTTATTATCAACAGGCAGTTATACAAAAGAAAAACTAACAACAATCAATTCCTTC